TTTAAAGCCAAGAATCAGCCGTTAAACCACTGTTGTTTGAATCTGATGCTGAAGTGGAGCCAAAACAATAGGAAATGAGTTACTGTCCAAATACTTGCAGATTGCACAGTACATTTGAACATCATTAGAGCGTCAGTCATCTTCATATTGTCCAGCAGCCAGAGCCCAAAGCTACATGACGACTGTGAAACAACTCTTACAAAAGGAGACTGGAGTAGTGACACACAAGCCTCCCCAGCATGCTGGTGTGTCACCGAGGGACGAGCCAGGCACTGATCTGAAGACGACGAGGATCTGGATATTTTGAAGCCGATATTGGGCCGGATTCCCATCGGGCTACATGCTATGCCTCCTGCCTCCCCTTTGAGTGTTGATTGCAGAGAGGAGAATGTGGTTGACTGATCTGAAAGGAAATTACTGGAGAGAGAGCTTATCCATGCCTTTGACTGATAATCAGCTCATTATCGTGTTGATCATTTACAGCTCTCCCTCTCGCCTGCTCTCTATTCTTTTAGCTGTGTCACTGAAGCAGAGCATAGAGACTTTTAATGGCTTGGCAGGGAGCCCACTGTGGTGAGGGAGGGTTAAAACAAGCATGCTAGCCCTGGCTAGTCTCCACTTTTTACACAGTCCTCACCCCACTTATCAGCCCTCCCAGGGAAGAAAAGAAAATTAAAGAAAAACAACAACAGCGACAGCAACATATGCAACCCCCTGACACGAGCAGTGCCCGAGCACCCCAACATGGCTAACTGTGCATGAAATTGAACTGATTGGAGTTATTGACCAGAAGGCTCCAGCCCCTGAGAGGACAGGGAGTATTGTTTGGGGGGGGGGGGGTAGCTTGTGTGTTACCTGATTGAGTGAAAAATCCTCGGCCGGTTGCTTTGATGCCCTGCACTACAGGAGAGAGTGATTTAATGGAAGCTGCCAGACCTCATCAATGTCAGCGCTCGTAGTGAGGGCCCTCCGCTCCGCCGTGCTTCATATAAAAGCGCTCGCTATGACAGGTCCTGATGGACAGATGTTTGCTAGTTGTTTTAACTGCACAGTAAAAACAAACACGGATATCAGCCTCCACCTCTGTCTCTAAAAGACGGACTGAGGGGAGGCTGTTGCAGGCCACCCCGGCGTGCAGCACCCTCGCCCTCAGCTGATTTTAGGCCTCTATAAATAGCCCTATTGAATTTTTGCTGGGTTGATAAGCCTATAATTAATGTGGCCATCATTAGGCACGGGCATGTTCTCCTTAAGAGGACCCCACTGGTGAGGCGGAGCGGAGACTTCGCTTCTGTCCTTGTTTTTAAGGATGAACTGAGCAGTGCGAGCGGGTGGAAAGCGGAGTGACAGCCAACCAGCTTCCCCGGTGATGTGCAGAAGGCGCCGCTTTGTTGTGGAACTGCAGGATAACACACAGTGTCATCTATCAACTCTCCACAAAAGCCCACTGTGCGGCGCCTTCAGTAGATCCGAATTGCATTGGAATTGCATCATTAATAGAGCAGAAATGATTCCCAGCAACTCCGGGAGAATACATTGACCCCTGGGGGAGGCTAGAAACAAGACAATGTTTTTACAGGAGGAAAATCTAACTAGAGGTCCCATTACCACTTCATCAATATACAGCAGCGAGTGAGCAGGGAGACGGAAGAAGGCAGGGGAGCACAGAAGAAAAAAAAGAAGAGGAGGGAATGTAATAGCTTATAGTGCTAATGGCGGTCTGAGCGCTCAAGTCCCAAACATTCAGCAGCCTCATCTCATCTGGGCTGTGTAATTGCCCTCCTGGAAGCTGCCACGCGAAGCGGCTGCCTCCGTAGTGAAGAGTGGCAGCTGCTGGATGTTGAGGAGCAGGCCTAGGTCAACTCCCCTAGTGGGGCTCCTTGCAACCATGAGATGTCATAATTAATAGCTATCTGGGGGCCCCAGGGTGAGTGTTGGGCGGACGGGTGGTTGCATGGGTGGGAGGGTGAGATTGTTTGGGTAAATGGAAGCCAAACCGAAAGAGACACCAGACTTATTCTCCACTTAACATAATGTCTACTTATCACTTTGCCTGTAGCGAGTACGCCGTTGCAGCGTCTCACCCCCTGCTTTTCAGGGATATTTTTCTCGCTTGTTTGTATTAGGTTTCCATTTCGTATCTAAACGCACCTAGAGATATGTCGCTGTGGTGTATCATGGGAACTTATTAGTCTTTGGGGACCTCCGTTCTCCCTAGTTAAGTAAATATACATGAGCTGCTATGCAAGATGCAAGCTCCCAGCACCTTCAGAAAAAATCTGTTACTTCAGCTTCCCTCTCACTTACCATCTCTCTCTCTCTCTCTCTCTCTCTCTCTCTCTCTCTCTCTCTCTCTAACATGCCGCCTGGGGGCAAATCTCACTCTGTCTCATCTGCTGCTTAATTTCACTGGAGCGGCCCTCAGTAATGAAGCGCCTTGATGTACATTCGCCAATTTCTGCCTCCGCCACTGCAGCATAATTGGGATGTGACTAAGCATGAATACCCAGCGCAGGGTTGGTTGACCTCTCGGCGACCCCGCGAATAGCACTTTTGTCATAATGGAGGTATTATCTCACGTAATCTGGGAATGGAGAGGGATTGTCTGCAGGGATGGAAATGAATTGATATAACTCCCCGCTCCTGTGCACTGCAGAGGTGAGAAGAAAAAACCTGTGAGATACATTTTTTTACATGCGCAAAATGAAGACATTTTCTTCTTATCTATTGCTGCTTTGTGTTTATTGGAGTAGGAGAGCAGCTTCTGGCAAAAGCAGGGGTGTTTTTTTTTTAGGAAGGGAGGGAGTTTTGAAGCAGTGGTACTAAAGAGGATTTCTCTGAATGTGTGTATATACGTGTGTGTGTACGTCAGCCTTTTCCCTGCGTGGGTGCACAGTGTACTCATGCACATGTTAGTGTGTGTATGTGTGTGTGTGTGTGTCTGTTAATGACCCTGTAAAATGACAAGCTGAGCTGGCAGTGAGAGCACAGCCGACGGTCAGGGAGAGAGAGGGAGAGGAGGTAGGAGAGTTCAGATGGCGGAGGAGGAGGATGGGGGGGGTCGATCGTTCCACTGTGATTCACCATGCTGTCATCAGAGGGACGGGGGCCCCTGAGTGGCCCTCTCTGTTCCCACCTGAGAGGCCTGCAAATGGAGGGGCCCGTGCTGTCATTATTTACAGCCCACAGCTCCTAACCTTGGATTCGGAGCTCATCACGGCGGAGAGAAAATCAGATCGGACTTGACGTGTAACCAAGCCAGTGACCTTGATAAGTGTGAGGTGCCTCCAGCAAGAGGTTAGGGAAGAAGAGCTTTTTCTTCTGTGGGCTTTCGCTGTGGATTTGCGTGTGCGTGTTTATACTTGTGTATTTCAGCCAGGTGGGGAGGAAGGAGGAGGTGGGGGGTGTGGGGGGGGACACTAGTGCTGAAAACACAAGTACACAGAAAATCAATTGACTATTATTTTTGTTAGCACTCAGGCAGAGCAACTTGCATTCTCTTCACTGGCCAACAGGGGGCGACTCCTTCGGTTATATAAAAAGTGATTGTATAGAAGTCTATGAGAAAATGACTCTACTCCTCACTTGATTTTTTAACAATGTAAACATTGTTAACATGAGTTTATGGTCTCGATCTCAAGTATTCATCAATACAGCATGATGTTCATTTTGTAAATTATGGTAAAATGGACCATAAAGCAGAGTATGCTTTAGGGCGGGCTTACTGTGATTGACGGGTCGCTGGGCTGCTGCTACCAGAGCCATATAGGGCGTCTCTACGTCTCTCCTCCAAATATAGTAACGTGACGAATATAGTGACGGCAAAATCAACGACCTCGAGGCTTCATAACGGCAGTTTACCAACCAATGGGTGACACCCCGATGACTACGTCCACTTCTTATATACAGTCTATGTTATCACGTAATAGTTTGCCATTTATCTGGGAAAGATATCAAACATTTGCTGATAGCAGCCACCGGTAAACAAAATGCCGGTCTTCCGTGTTTGATATCACTCAAATTGAATACTTTCGCTAAACATGCATTTTGAAGATATCATCTTAGGCCTTGGAAAATGATTTTTTCCATTAAAAATCAAAGGGGGTGCAGTCTGATTTTGTTACCAGGTAAAAGCCACAGGGTCAGCTATGTTTATAAATACACCTGACCCTTTGCTTAAAGTAATGACTTTTCTTCCTGGGTGTTTTTTATTTCTCTATTTGATTATTTATCTTTTCTATCTGAACTAGTTAGAGACCAGAAGGGGGGGGGGCACAAAATAACAGGGGAGAGCATCTCTGGATGGGTGATGAAAATGCATTAATCTTCCCCCACTGAGATGCTATTTGGTCGTGTGAAATGATTAATTTCACACATATACAGGTCATCCCCAAAAGCAGCAACATCTCATTCACAAGGGGCCGCCGTCAGCAACAAAACAGGAGGCTGCAATAAAATGAGCAAACAGCAGCACGTACTGTACGTCAATAAATCTTTGGAGGTTAAACCTGAGCGCTGTAGAATTTGAGCAGCATCCCCCCCCCCCCCACACCCCCACCCTATCATCAGGTAAATGTCACTGAGTACATCAGGACTGTCGTGACTAAAAAATGGCCGACGAGCAGTTCAGGGAGTGTCCTGTGGTAGCAGGTACACACACTCTCTCTCTCTCTCTCTCTCACACACACACACGCAGTCTGTGTTTGCATAAGTAGGATGGAGTCTTGAATTATGGGGTTTGTGTAAATAAGGAGATGAGACTGTTTTTAGCACACATGGAAGAGGGAGTGCTTGGATGAGAATGGTGCTTCTATGTGGAGTGGAAATGGTCTCGGGTTGTTTACGACAGCTCGCAGCCCTCATATATCACAAGCAGTATGTTTGCTGTGAAGCTACAGTTTGTATGCCATCTGCCTTCGCTGAACTTGACCCTTCAAACAGACTTATATTTTGTAAACTGAGCTCACTGTAACTGCTGTTTGTATTTTCTCTTTTCCTAGTGGATGATCCAGGAACCCCAAAAGGTGGCTACTTTCTTCGGGTGCATCGGTGCCGACCAGTTCGGGGAGATACTGAAGGAGAAGGCTGCGGAGGCCCACGTCGACGCACATTACTACGAACAAAACGAGGAGCCGACCGGCACCTGTGCGGCCTGTATCACCGGGGACAATAGGTTAGCCCACCTTTCAGTCACCCCTGACCAAGAAATGATCCTCTAGCCCAGATTTGAAACACTCATTCTGGTTCATTTTCACATCCTCATGCAGGCAGTTCACTCCTCGGGGCTGGAAGTCATAACAGGGAATCATAGCTCAGCTCTCACATCAAAAAGGGAAAAGAACAGCTTGAGTGTGTTTTTCCAGGCCCCCACTCAGTCTCTGCCGCCCCAGTGGGTTGTCATCCATCTATAGGCTGACAGTAGCAATGTGTTAGAGATGGCTGGGCTATCCCAGCTCTCACCTGTCAGCCTTCCCCGGCTGTAAAAGGGGGCATTAGCATCTCTGGCGACTGTCGTGCTAGCGTCATCATCAGCACGTCTGAGACAGCAGAGGTCAAACCCTGCACACACACACACACACACACAAATATCACTAACAGTGAGGGCTCCAGTTCATGATAGACCAGGTGTGGATCAATAACCTGCTTCTCTAAACACTCCCCCTCCTCTGCAACCCTTCATCCGCTGCTACTGGAGTTGTCAGTCAGTCAGCGGCTGAACCTCCACCGCCCCGGGAGCCGGCCCTTCTGAATGGTCTTAGTGGGCTTGTTTGATGTGGCTCTGACACCTGAAAAGGTCAGGTGCCGTGCTCAGGGAGACGAGCTCTATAATATTTCTTACAGGTGTTTAACAGACAGCTCAAGAGGCCAGAGGAAAGGCAGGGCCAGGTTGGAAGGTGGATGGCTTTGAAGGATTGGGAACCAGTATGTCACAGCCCCAGGCTTTGATTAGTCTTCAAAGGAAAGAAATCCACCTTCCCTGCTCAGTCTGACAACATGAGTTCAAATCTGTGAAGTGGTCCGTTTATCTACGATTAATTACACTAAAGGCGTTTGGGTTATTCAGTTCTTACATTTCTAATCAAAGGTTCAATGAGTCAGTCCCTCCAGGATCTCTGAGTTTTTGTGCTGCGCAAAATGACTTATCTTATGTTCTTATGTTTATTTTGCGATAATTGTGCTAATATTTAAATATTTTTTTACATTTACAGATATTCTAAATGAGTAATAAACTCCAGTTAGAGTAAAAGTTGTCGCTAGCCTTTGCATTTAGTTATTCAAGACGTCGTATGTTCTTCTGTAACTTGTTTTACCCTAACCTGAGTCTGTAAGGTAACCTCAGTGCTTCCTACAATATCAAATCAAGTTGTATGTGTAACATTAGAAATAGTTTGGTTTTGGTATTTTTAATTAAATTGTCAAGTGAAAAATCTTGGTTGGAGAATACAAAGCCTGAGAAGACAAGTTGTTTGTGAACAAAGGCTGTTTCATTATAGAGATTGATGCTTGATTTTAATTCCAATTGTACTTTTAAAATGTACTTCTGAATTTCATTATGTTTAAGTAGAAAACTGGTTATTGGTAAAGTTGGCAAACATTCTTCCAGTTCAGTTTTCTGAAATCTCGCTGAATCAGCAAACATGTAAATTCCTGGAGGGACTGATGAGTATCTTAGAGTAGTGTTTCAGTTTAGTGTCTTCAGTTAAAGACATGGTATCATTAGATCTAGCTAGTTCTTTGACAGCACTGCGCTTTGCTCATGTCTGTTGGACTTCCTTAGTAATGAAACCCATTTCGACTGTCAAGCTTCTTCTAACCTTTGAGTCCATTACTGCAGCTCAGGTCAAGTGCAGTCCAAATCCTGCTGTCACATCGTAGCCGTCTTCATCGCGCTCTGATCAACTTACCACACTCTAACTCTTTTCTTTGATGCTACCTACTGTTAGCAGCTTTTTTTCTCGCCGCGTGAGAACAGACCTCTTCCTGTAGCAGCACCCACCTCTCATATGATCGGCTCACAGTTTCCCGCTAAGTAGCGATGATGGTTGCACTCATTTTGATGGCCGCTCATAAAGCGACGACACACGAGGACTGACTAATGAGCTACGTTAAGATAATGCCACCTGCCTCACATCCAGCTCCCGCCACTCACTACTCAACTCAAGTGTTCATTTCATAATGAATTTCTGTTGTTTCCCACCTTTGCTAACGATGGACCACTTTTCCAGGTGATTTGATAATATGAATAATTTTTAGCTCATTGTTGGCCTTGAAAATCCCTCTTCTTATTTGAATCTGTAAGATGAAAGAAAGAGATCCAAATGTTCAGACATTGTAAGAAACCATTATTATCCTTTTATATTGTGAAGGAACAAAGGAAAGTCCAGGGGCCAGAGTGTTTTTAGGGATGTTTTTGAGACAAAATTAAGATGGATGATAAGCGAGGTGGAAGATTTATGGGGTCTGTCTCGGCAGGTCCCTTGTTGCTAACCTGGCAGCGGCAAACTGCTACAAAAAGGAAAACCACCTGGACTTGGACAGCAACTGGGAGCTGGTGAAGAAAGCCAAGGTTTATTATATTGCGGTAAGTGAGACCCTCTACATTCAAAATAACTGTTCCCCAACTCTATTGCCAGAGCAGGACAAAATGTTAAGAGGCTTTATTCAGGAAATGCCTCAGCGCGCCTCCTGCATTGTTAGTATATCCATTCATCCTTTGTCGAGTGAAATGAGCTATGTTACCTATTGAGACAATGCAGCTCCATTCTCCCCGTTTTCCCCTCGTCTTTGTTCATGAAGCTGCAGCACACTGTGAAATTGTTCTACATGTAATGCATTCATTCATTTCTTTTTACGTGAAGACAAGCCAACAGGTGCTGTGAAAGTGTGGAAATTGATTATTCAAGTTCATTCGGCTTTACGCCCTCCAACACAAACTTCCCCCTACAGACAAAACACACACACACACACACACACACACACACAAACACACACAGAGAGATTGAGGAGGACAGATGTGCCCTTAGACGTTCACACACACTCAAGCTGCACCACTGAGGTAATGTCTTCACTTACAGCTTCTGGGTTAGGATGGCCTGCCATGCTCACGTTTCACTGTTTGGGATTACATTTAATTCTGGCAGATCAACATTTTCTCTGATCTCAAGTCAAGATGATAGCCATGAAATTGCGCGGCATTCCACGTCTTTAAGCAGTTCATTATCGGCATAAATCAGCATTACAGCCCAGCCATCAACATACTCCTCGGCATATTGTCCCAAGTGAAATTCACAACGGTCCCCCTGTTGCCCACAAGCCCTCTAAGCATGAGTGTACTGGAGTCCAATAATGATGGAGGTTTCATAATTAGCCGCCCAGTCGCAGAAC